AATTACAGAATAAGCCTACTGGTCCAATCGTATACACTTTAACGAAAGAACGTGGTCAGAAGACCACGTGCGTCGAGAAACACGTGACGAACAATATACCGGCAAAACCATTGGCTACGATTGGTGCAATGTATCATCATAGCGTTGTGATTGGTCGAAGCTCTCCCGTTATTGTTAACACGTTGAAGCATGCAGCCACATGAAGCATTCCGAGTTTAACCGCCGTACGAATAGCTAACGAAGGAATATCCAGTGCAAGGTGATAGAGACAAAGGACGAGCCTGAAGAAAAAAAGATATCGAACATCGTGCTAAGGACAATTCAACGACGTGACGACAGAATAACGAGGTGATAGTACAAGTGTGTCCAGACGCTTTTCTCATATTATTGTATTACGTACTGCAGCGAACTTCGACAGAACACATAAATATGGAATGTATCAATATTAAATTATCTACTTCACGAAAACCTTTTATGAATTTATGAATATGGCAACGGAGAAAAGTTTTGTTAGAAATTAGGAGAAACTTGAGTCTATTTAATTGAAGTTCAAATAGAAATATTACATAAAATGCTCTTTGTGTACAAGATATGCCACTTGCGTATGTTGCACATCAATCAATACATTCAGATAGTAACATAGTATATGATTATACATATTTTATTTCGTGCTCTTCTTATAGGTATAATGACAATGGAGATTAATTATTATTCAAAGACTGTTATAATGAATTATCTTAACGATAGCAGTTAATAATTTACTTTGTGCCCAATAATGTAGGATACGTCCACACAAATTAGATTTCAATTCTCCTTCGTAGACAGTTTTGTAATCTTTCCAAAGATATTAGAGCTATAATAGACGTGTACCCAAATACACAAAAATATATTTCATTGTAATATCTTTTGAAAGATTAGGAAACCACTTGTGTCAAAGAAGGAAAGCTGAAATATAATTTTCTTTGGATGTATCTTCAATTATTGCCCACAAAGTAAGTAGTTAATTGCTCTTGAAAAGATAATTGATTATAAAAGTCTTCGAACAATAATTTATCTGTGTTGTTATTACAGCTATAGGACGGTATATAAAAGACAACTTTAAGCATATCAAATATTTCTTGTACATATCTGGGATATATACTTAAGACATTTGAAACATATGAAGAAAGGTTATAGAAGTCTACAATATATATATATATATATATATATATATATATATATATATATATATATATATAT